CCTTTCCTGTCAGCCTACTGTCAAAAAAACAAGCCACTAGTGCAGTAAAAACTCAAAAAAAAAAAAAAAAGGTGCAGCAAATACATCAGTCCCCCAAACATTAAAGGAAAACAAATTTATTGCAGACAACTGTAGAAGCCTAATGCTTTTTATTAAGTGATCCCCAGTTTTATCTAGGGGATTTATGTTTACATTTATTCATCTAAACAAATGACTCAGTCTACCTCTTTATTTGGTGTTTATTAATCAAGGAAAACCAAAGGTAAGAGAGTTTTTCACATAGAGGAAATACCGCCAACAGTAACTGGCAGACCAGCCCAAAATTACAGGAACAAAAAGCTTTTCCCTTCATCACTGCAACCAAATGGAAATTTTGTCACATCCTTCCACCTGATTAGCAACACCACAAATAAACTATTTTGCAGACATTAATGTTCAGGGTCTATATTAAGGTGTTAAAGAATTCCCCAGAGTCAGAGAGAGGCATTTCTTATTTTGCACAGGAACTACATTCTTGGTCTCACTTGTAAAAAAAAAAAAGCCTGTTTTTGGAAAACTCTGCCCTGTTTTCTTCATAAATTACCTATTTTAGTTTCTAAAATTCCCTTTTAGAAAAAAAGGGTTGAGTGTTTTTGGTTTCCATTAGCAATAGATGCTATCTTCTAATGCACAGCCTAGCGCACATCTATACCTTCACCACAACAGAACGAAAAGGAGAATCATTTGAAGTCGGGGAAAATGACATGAAAGAAAATCTGGATCACTTATCTACCCCTGAATTAGGAAAATAAAAACCTGCATTTTCCCTTTTTGGAAACTGGTATTTTAATCAGCAACTTTCGAAGAAGCAGAAAAAGAATAAAAAAAAATGCAAGGAAGTGAGGAGAACATACACTGAAGACAAATTAAATAATCATATAAAAGTAGCAGTTTTATGTCAACACTGAAAACAGAAAAGAGAAAGTGATTTTTTTCTGGGTTTAAGTCATCTTCATCTACATAAAATTAAGTCATTACAATTAATAAAGAAATTAGATTTAATTGGCATCTAATAATAACGGTCTACCTCGAGAAAATAAGGTTTGCTAACATTATTGGATATCTGTGACATTTTAGTAGCAGGGCTGTCAGTGCAGTTAGTCACCATAATTAGTACCAGTAGTAGTATTCTAAATAGAATGGTGACAGGATGGGGATTTACATGCCTCAGTTTATTTCTTATCAGCTCTTAGCAAAAACCCATGAAGGACTTGAAGTGCGGTGCTGTCCTGGAAGTTCCTGTTAAATTCTCTGAACTCAAGTGTCTGGTGAAATAACGGCAGATATTTCTCCATCATGAAAACTTTGACATAATTCTGAAATTTCATTTAAATCAACAAAGCCAGTTGAACTTAAAAAAATAAATAAAACGCAAAAAAAAAAAACAAATAAAAAAACAAAACCAGCCTATTGGGTAATACCACTGGCTGAAAACATTTTGTATAATATTTTCACTGTCAATAATGTCAGAGCCTGTCAACCTGCTTTACAAACCTGTTACACAACTTGTGTTAAGTTGCAGTTTGAAGTCAAGTAATTCATGTCATCTTAAAACTAAATTTATAAAATCCCTGAGAGTAATACTGGATCAAATATATTTTATGTTGTACATATATGGGAGAAGTCCTGTAATTCATTCACTAAAAGATATGCACAATAAATACAGCCTTTGATACATATTTGTGGACAGCAATCATGACAGCAGCCAGGCTTTTAGTGTTTGCTTTTGTTCTCCAGGAAAATTTGACAACAATAAAGTACTTTTAAGAAAAAGCATACAAAAAACAAACTCAGTTCACCACAAAGTGCTCCAAAAAGCATGAAATATAACAGCAATGTAATAAAATAGAAAAACAGGAAAGAAAAGCTGCAAATCTAAACACACAGATCACTTCAGCTTCTTTTCTAGATTTAAAAATTAAAAAGCAAAGCTGCTGCTCAGCACCCTGACATTAGCTGAATGATCCAACTATCTCTGCTCGGATATTGCTCAATATTTGGTCCTACCTCTGTAATGACAACGATCTTAGTACCAAGGAAACTGAACAGTAACTCTACTCAACAAACGTAAACTGTGCCTCATTTATCAGTCGTTTTTTTTTGGCCACTCCCAGTTTCGTTATGAACGTTTATCCCCTGAACTCCTAAGCTGATATGCAAACATTAATCGGATCTCTTAAGTTTTGTCAGTATTCGCTTTTTTTCTGTTGGTTTAAAGGGAAGCTTTGCTGGTTTCTAGCACTTAATTTTGATATAAATAACAATAACAGGCCCCTTCGTGTATTAAAGCTTTGAGCTATATTAAGTAGACTTTAACTACAGTTAATTTCAAGTTTGCTAAATGCTAACTTACTCGAGTAGGGGCAAACGTATGCTAAATTAAACCAACTAACCTTAAGAGTCTTGACCGTCAGGGTGAAAAGAAAACGAAACTATCCCAACACCAGGAACGAAGTCACCCAGCTCAGTAGTCAAGTGTAGTTTAAATATTTAAAAAACTAACTTCCGTTTGTAGTTTGAGCCAGTCTGAAAGACTGTGGTGGAAGAGAATTCCGGGAACCGAATCTTCTGAATCATCTTGTTTCTGTATATCATAAAAGAATCAGCAGGGGGAGTGGATCCGTTGCCAGACGACAGAAGGTAACGTCTACGCATGCGCACTATCTGTTGCTAACAATGCTCCAGCGCTTGTTAAATCCGTTCATTCGGTTAAATCAGAGGCACCGTTCTTTAACCTGTAAAGGTTTAAAAGGTACGAAGTAATACTTCTTATCTCTCCTTATTTATGAAAACCCACTAGCATAAGCTAGCAATTAAATTAGATTTAGCTTGCGTTTTAAACTGCGTAATAGCCTAGCCGCTTGCTTGTAGCAGGTAAAAATGAACGCTACATAACATGACAGTTAGCATCCGGTTCAGCAGTTCATTAGGACCTATGACTGTTTTGACATTGAATCTGTGTTTGTTTTGGTGTGTTTGAATAAAAAATAAAGTTTAACAAATAAAATAAAGGTTTTTTCAAATAGAGGGTTTCACCTAATCATGCCAATGCGAGGAGCATTTAGAAATAATTTGTTTTTCAGACCCCAAAACTAGCTGTAAATTATTTGGTAAGTAGTAAAAAAAATAAAAAAAAAATGACTCATTTATGCAATTGTAAAAAAAAAAAAAAAAAAAAAAAAGACTAATTTATGCAATTGTAAAAAAAAAAAAATCATTTTTTTA